TATTCTATTTTCAAGTTGAAGCAATAACTTTTTCTATGTATATTCTATAAGAAGTTTTATTTTATTGATTTAGAATTTAGTTGACGTAGCGTAACTGTGGATTGGCATATCCAGCAAAGTTTCATATTCCATGACGTGAATTTTGTACTTTTGGAATTGTTGTCAAATAAAGGAAGAATCATTTCATAAGTTTCCTCTAATTTTATTTTTTCCGTTGTAGGGTTGATAATTAATGTCGATAATTCCAAATTAATTTTGTCCGTAGTTGGCTTAGCATTACAAGTAAGATTTTAAAAAAGAAACCCAAAACCTAAAACCCATTTCAAAATTCAAAATTTGTTTTTTTGTAAAAAGAGAAAATTCATCTTTCATCTTATGAAATGTGTGTGGGAAATTACAAAATTTTGGAACCAACAAGTGTCAAGGAGCGAGATTGAAATTTCATAAACCCTAGGGATACGTGCAGCCTCCTCCTGCCGCCACCCACCAGGCGCCATTGATGATCTTCCCTCCATTTCTATCCACAATTTAAATCTGAGTCTTTCCCTCTCTCTATACTCTGTCACTGGCTCATCGCATTTAATTCCTATGAAGCTCTGATGGAGAAGAAAGACGATCGCTTCTTTAAAACCCTCATTCTCTCCCCTTTCCGTTACACCAAGACCCGCCACATCCGCATCGCCGATATTCTCGTTGATGAAGAAGAGGGATCCGAAACCGACGGCTACGATTGCGTCGGAGACTTCAATATGGATGGCATCGGAGACCTCCCGAAGGACGACAGATTGATGGCTCTACAGTGCTCCACCCCGCGCCGTATCATTTCCCGATGGCTGTCGTCTCTGAGACGATCCAAGAGAAGGCGAAGCGACGTCGTACGGAGCCAGAAGATATTCAAAGAGGTCGCGAGAAGGGAAACCGGTGACGAGTCAACGCACGCCACCTGTTCGACGCATGGATTGAAGCAGTCAGGTTAAAACAAAATTGAAATTCTCTAAATTATTGTTATTAATTTATTTTTACGTTTTGGTTTATATTAATTACAAAGTTGATCCTCTCCTTCTGATGAATCCAGGACAGTTTGTAGAAGATAACGGCTCATTCAATTTGGGCGTTGCGTGCGGTTTGATATATCTGATTGTCACCAGTAAAAATGAGCTTACAAAGATGGTGGAGCTGCGGACACAAATGGAGCTGCTTCTTCAAAACGCAAAAGAGGGATTGCAAAGCAAGAACGCGCCTTTTGACGCCAAACCGTTGGAGTTGAATGAGGTGAATATTGCTTCTTCCACCACTGATTTCCATCAAGCTTCGAGCTCGAGCTCCGATAGCCAGTTTTCGCTTCAATCTGGTGTTGTCCGTGACGTGTGCTCGGAATATATTAGAAATGAAGAAGGAGAAGGAGAGAGAGATGAATGCGTGGCAGGAATGGATCAACTTGAGGCGGAGCTTGAAGCCGAGTTGGAACGGTTGCAGCTCCAATTGGATTTGGAAAATGATTCATCCAATTCTGAATACCCTCAGCAGAGGCTAAAGGTAAACACTTTTAGTTTTCAGACTGATTTAGTTCAATTATACTAATGGTTTTGATTAATTAATCTTCTGAAATTAATGTTTGAATGTTATAAATGGCAGGCTTCTAGAGACTGTGCTATTGTAATTGACTGTGATGAAGCAGAACCGCCATATTATGCTGAAATGCCCTGTGACTATGGAGTACCTGCACTTGA